AGGCAAAGTGGGGGAGAACAAGGGGTCACAAGACCAGTCAAGCAAAGCAAAGCAAAGCTCAGGGTGGATCACAAAGTCACCACGCATTCCGAGCACAAGTTCAAAGGCCACAAGGCCAGTTCACATGCAAGATCATATATAGAGATATACAAGAGCAAGAGTATATATATATGTGAAGGTACAAGCAAGGTCAAGAGGAGAGCAAGTGAGGCAAGACAGGCACAAGACCCAACTGCGTGCAGCAACGCTGATGATCACAAGGCGCAAGTGCCTTGGTGAAGACATCAGCAGTGTTGGCCTCAGAGGCCACGTACGCAAGTCGCAGCTGTCCACGCTGCTGTAGCTCACGAGCAAGAAAGTAGCGAAGAGCAATGTGCTTCGTTCTGTGCTCCAGTCGCTGCTCTCGACACAAGGCCAAGCTGGCCTTGTTGTCTACGTACAGGACTGGAGGAGAACGAGGCTGCTCTCCAAGGTCGGTCAGCAGGTAGGTGAGCCAGCGTAACTCCTGTGCAGCCATAGCCCCAGCGTAGATCTCAGCCTCACAACTGGAGCCGAGAACAGAAGACGAGCGGGTAGCCCGCCACGAGACAGAGCCGGAACCAAGGCTGAAGGTGTAACCCTGAGACGACCGCTGCGTAGCCTGGTCGTCAGCCCAAGAAGCGTCTGCGTGCCCAGTGAGGACCACTGGACTGCGCCCTCCAAGCACTAGTCCCATGCCCGACGTACTGCACAAGTAGCGCAACACCCTCTTCGCTGCAGCCATGTGCTCTGGTCGGTGTCTCCCAGGAGCAACAAAGCGTGCGAGAATGCTAAGAGGGTATGCGAGGTCAGGTCGTGTGCAGGTCATCAGGTACATGAGGCAGCCAACAAGCTCTGCAAACGGGCCACTCGACTCTACGGACTCATCCGAAGGCAGAGCTGAGAGCGAGTGGCGAGTAGGCAGAGGAGTGGCCTGAGGCGAGGAGTACGTGAAGCCGAAGCGCTGAAGGACCTGCTGCACCATGTGTGACTGAGTCAGGGTAATGGTGCGGCGTGCTCTGTCCCGGGTGATCTGCAAGCCAAGGTAGCTGCGCAGTTCACCCGGGTCAGTGCACGTGTGTCTCTTCTGCAGCTCGGACTTCACGTAGGCGAGTCCAGCAGTGTCAGCTGTGGCAAAGACCAAGTCGTCGACGTACACGAGGATGTAGAACGGCGGCAGAGAGGTGTCGGTGCGCAGAAACAGCGACGGGTCGGCAGTGGAAGGAGCAAACCCAAGTGCCGCGAGCGTAGTCCTCAGTGTGTCGTGCCACTCACGTGGCGCCTGGCGGAGACCGTAGACTGGACGCCGGAGACTCCACTGGGTACCAGGAGGGAAAGACCCAGTGAAGCCAGGTGGGCGACGCAGCCAGATCTCCTCGTGCAGGCTGCCCTGCAAGAAAGCTGTGCTGAAGTCGAGAGAGTGCAGCTCGTAGTCACGGTGAGCAGCAACGTGTAGCAGAACCCGAAGAGTGGTCATCTTCGGGGTGGGGGAGAAGGTCTGAAAGTAGTCAACCCCCTGCCGCTGACTGAAGCCACGAGCCACGTAACGCGCCTTGAAGACAGGCGGAGAACCCGGCGGCCGCTTCACCCTGAAAATCCACATGCCACTGACGATGTTCGCCCCAGGAGGGGGAACAGCGTCAACGTAGGTGCCTGTGGACTTCCAGGAAGCCATCTCTGCATCCATAGCTGCCTGCCACTGAGAGGAGTAGGGACCCTCTATCGCCTCCGCGTAAGAACGCGGAGTCGGGATGTCTGGTGCATCCGGGTCTCCCTCAGGGGCTAGCAGTACAGACGCGAGACGAGGTGAAGCGGCGGCCAGACACTGGAACTCCTCCTGCCTGTCCTCAAGGACGTCCGTGCCAAGGGCACACTCACCCCCGACGGACGGAGGACAGGCGGACTCAGACTCAGTGACAAGACGAGCAGCGTAGTCTAGACGACAGCGCGCAGCAAAGTCGACAAGCTCAGTGACAAGGGCAAACGCAGCAGACGACTCGAAGGAGGGGTCAGTGACAGCAGTAGCCAGGAGACGCGTGACAGTAGGACTGGCAGCACGAAGAGCGTCCGACTCCGGGTCGGCAAGAGCAGGAAGAGAGGAAGCAGGAGGAGAAGGCAAAGGGGCACGCAGAGGAGCAGTGGACGGACGCAGTGACATCCGGTGCGTGCCAGGGACAGGAGGAGGACGCTGACGCGACCCGCGACCACTAGCGCGGTCAGTACGAACAGGCGACACAGGACGAGACGCAGGCTCACGACGCTCAGTAAGACCTCCAGTCGGACCAGCGTAGGGAGAAGGAGTAGGCAAAGGGGAGGCAGGCTGTAGCTGTGGCTGTGACCGGACAGGCTGCGGACCCTCTAAGGGAGGAGGAGGAGGTGTAAGACCAAGAACCTGCTGCAGGAGCGGAACGAAGTACGGTCGGGGCCGCGCGGCGACGCTAGAAACAGCAGGATCAGCACCAGCAGCCCCGGCAGGAGCACCCACTCCAGCAGCACCTCCAGCAGCACCACCAGAAGCTCCAGAACCTCCAGCCGCAGCACCAGGAGCACTGTCAGTAGAGCCGCCAACGGCAGGCTCAGCGCCAACACCCTCAGCAGGACCAGCTCCAGGAGAACTCTCAGACTCAGCAGCTCCAGCACCCACAGTACGAGCGCCGGCGGGGCGCGCAGCAGCAGTACCCTCTGCAGTCGAAGAACCACCAGCACCAGCAGCACGCCTCCAGCGCCCGGCAAACCACTCACGCAGCTCCTGTGGGGAGAGTGGCTCCCGGCGAGACGAAGCACCCCCAGGCACAGCACCTCCAGGCTCAGCACCCCTAGATACAGCACCCCCAGGCACGGCACCCCCAGGCTCAGCACCCCCAGGCTCAGCACCCCCAGGCACAGCACCCCCAGACTCGGCACCTCCAGGCTCAGCACCCCCAGGCACAGCACCCCCAGGCTCAGCACCCCCAGGCTCAGCACCCCCAGACTCGGCACCTCCAGGCTCAGCACCCCCAGACTCCGCACCCCCAGGCTCAGCTCCCGCAGCAGCACCAGAGTCACCAGTGACCTCGACAGGCTCGACCGCGTCTACCTGGGACACACCTGAAGGGGCAGGACCCTGAGGGGGGAGGGGGACTACTGGGGGGGGACCTGGTACCAAGAAGAGCGGGGGTGGGGGGAGGGACGGAGTGCGGTAGGGGAAGAGGCGGTAGTAGGGTACCGACTCGTCGAACGTGACGTCCTGGGAGGACAGAACACGTCGAGAGGTGGGGTGGTAAAACTGCCACCCAGGGGCGTCGGGGGGGAAACCCCAGGAAGACGCAGGGAGAAGCACGAGGGGACACCTTGTCCGCAGACAGGTCGCGAACAAACGCCCGAGATCCCCAGACCCGGAACGCCAACGCATCGCCAACCTTCCCCGTCCACAGCAGGGCTGGGGAGGTCTCCGGTCGAGAGACCCTGGGGTGGAGGTTGATCTGGTGCGCAGCGTACCTGACCGCAAACGGCCACAGAAAATGGGGAGCAGCCGCATGCATCATGGACGTACGAGCGACGTCCATGACCATGCCAATGCGGCGCTCAGCAATTCCATTCTGCTGTGGTGATTCTGGAAGCGTGAAGGTCTGACGGATGCCTCGCGCACGACAGTAGGCACTCAGGAGGCCAGAGGAGAACTCTCCGCCTCTGTCCGAGTGCAGACGTAAAACAGGGAAGTCAGAGCCAAAGCTCCTCCGAAGCTGGAGACGAGCTGCGCGGATCCAGTCGATCAACACCTCAGTGACCTCACCCTTGCTGCGCAAGGGGAAGACTGTGGTGTAACGCGAGTAGTCGTCAACCACCAGCAGGAAGTAGCGCTCCTGACCCTGTCCACGGACACGGGCTGGGCCCCACACATCCATGTGAAGCGTCTGCAACGGGGCCTCTGTCGGAGGAAACTGGGAGGAGTGAGGGGCAGCACGCTGGCGCCCCTCAACACAAGGGACACAGGTGGGGCCAGGGCCCGGAGGAAGGGGAGGGAGAGACCGGGGAAGACCAGACACAAGGACTCGCGAGGCCATGCCTCTGAGCCGAAGCAGAGAGGGGTGGCCAAGGCGGTGGTGCCAGAGGAGGGTCTCTTGAGACAGACGACGGCACGAGCAGGGGGCAGACTCAGGACCAGACCTGGACGCTGCAGCAAACACCTGACCAGACGAAGTGACCCTACCAGACTCAGCACTGGAGGAGAAGCAGTGGTCAGAGTGTACAGGCTCGACCCTGGCCGACGTGTAAACGTAGCCAGGTGGCGACCTGTATCCGCCTCCGTGCAGTGGGTCACCCGCTGACGAGCAGGGGTGAACTGGTGGACACCCCCATCCTGGAGGTCAGCACCACTCACCAAGTTCGTCGAGAACGAGGGGAGGTAAAGACCAGTCAGGGTGCCAGAGGGGGCCGCCGGACACGGGAGGACAGTGGAGAAGCGAGCCAGGACAGGCCCCCCAGAGGGGTCAGCCAGGGACACCGCAACCGGCCGACTCAGCGGCGTGAGAGTGGTGCGGTCCCGAAAGAAGGAGCGAGACGCTCCAGAGTCAAGGGTGAAGGTGTGAGAGGCCGAAGCCGACACAGTACCTGAGAAGGCAGACTCACCAGCACCTGAGAGCACAGACGCACTGGCACCTAGAGCAGCAGCCTCACTAGTACCTGACGCGGCAGTACCAATGCCCGGGTCGGGCGGGAAACACCGGTAACAGTCATCCTCATCACTACCAATCGCAGCATACATAGCAGAGAGAATAGCATCAAAATCAAGATCATAAATAGCTACACCAGCCCTAGACAGCTCTCCCCAGCGGGGGATCTCAGCTGCCTCCGGAAACTGCTGACGCCAGGCGTCAGTCAGGCGGCCAAAGCAGCGGCGGGCAGTGTGGGCGCCTCCACACCTCTCCCCTGCACGGTCACCGGTGCGGAGAACGTAGGGGCAAGGACCAAGCGCACCACCACGCTGACGCTGCGAGTACCACTCACGGAGCTGCTGAGGGGCGGGGACGGTGCGAGAGCGCTGCTGCTGCTGTGGCTGCTGCTGCGGCTTGCTGCTGCTGCTGCTGCTGGCGCTGACCACCCCCGGAGCTGCTCCGCTGGGACGAGCCACTCCGACCCCCGCCTCCACTGCCACCCCCGCCTCCACCGCCACCCCCGTCTCCACCTCCACCTCCCCCACCAGGACCGTCGCTCCCACCGCTCCCACCGCCTCCTCCGCTACCACCTCCGCCGCCACCTCCGCCTCCACCGCCGCCACCAGTACCTCCACTCCCGCCACCACCCCCACCGCCACCCCCCACTCCCCCCGCCACCCCCACCGCCTCCTCCACCGCCCCCTCTAGCTCCACCCGCTCCCTTGCCCCCTTGCCCTTGCCAGCGCGGCGTCTGCCGCTGGGGGCAGACGCCGCGCCGACCGACTCAAAACCAGTGAGGTCGGCCGCAGCGGCAGAGGCGACAGAGGGCAGCAGGGGGGAAGGACCACACCCCCTCAAAGATGGGGGTGCGAGGGTCACCCCGAGAGGCCCCTACAGCGACAATACTCTTCTCAGCCGCTAGCAGGGACTCCTCAATGGAGGTCGACAGTGAGAGTGGTGGGACAGACAGAGAGAAACTGGTCCCTAACGACACGAAGGGACTCAGGGAGACGGGTGACGAGAAAGTAGAGAGTGATGTACATGGGAGGAGGGTTCGCAGCGCGGAACTCAGCAGGAAGGGCAGCGCGGTAGCGGGTGTCACTAGCACGGAGGTGGGTAACGAGGTCAGCGACAGTGGGAAAGGAAGCGAGGTCAGGGAAGAGAAACGGTAGCATGAGGCGGCTAAGGGTAGCGGAGGAAGGGGAGGAGTAGCGTGCAACTACAGCGTCGTACAAGGCCTGAGCGGTCTTGCACTGACTAAAGTGGGCACGCTCAGAGGAAGGGAGGTGGCGACGCACAGCAAGACGTGCAGCAGCATCGCGGGTCGCCCACTTGGAGCGAACGGCAGAGTCAGCATCAGCAGGTGGGGCAGGGACAGCGCCAGAGACAAAGTCAAAGAGAGAGACCTCATCTATCGCATCACACAGTAAGTACAGCTGCAGGTCTTCAATCCAGACGGCAAAGTCAATGGCCCTCCCCTCAGCGTCAAAGGTAAGAACATTGGGGGTGGCCATGACAGCAGCTGAAAATCTCACCGGGCTGGGAGAGGCGGGTAGGTCAGCAGCAGAGGAACAGCAGAACGGCTCCGCAGGCGGCTCGGGCGGCGCAGGCGGCTCGGGCGGCACGGGCGGCTCGGCGGCGGCTCGGGCGGCGGCTCGGTGGCGGCTCGGCGGCGACTCGGCGGCGGCTCGGCGGCGGCTCAGGCGGCGGCGGCTCGGCGGCGGCTCGGCTGCTGCTGGGCGGCGCGGGCGGCTCGGGCGTCACGGGCGGCTCGGCGGCGGCTCGGGCGGCACGGGCGACTCGGCGGCGGCTCGGGCGGCGGCTCGGCGGGCGGCTCGGCTGCAGCTTGGCGGCGGTCCGGCGGCGGCTCGGCGGCGGCCG